CAGAGACTTGTATTGACATCTTACTGGGGTGTCACTATGGTGTTACTGTGGTAAACGAACTTCGTTCTCAATCTCCCGCTCTAACTTAACAGCGAGATCTCGGCCATGTTGCGAGATGCTGTTCTGGTTGTTGGCCTGAAATAGGCCGCCAATAACATCCGCATTGTACCCGTATGTCCAAACTTGGGCCTCGGGCACGTCTTCGAGCAGGTAATCTCGTGGCCAGAATACCTTGTAGTCCGTCGCAGAATCCGGCGTAGTCTTGGAGCTATTTTCGTCGGCGTGGGTGGAGCTTGCCTTGGCATGCTTAGGACGGAAGAGTGTCTTGAATACATTTCGGTTGTTCCGTGTCTTGTCACTCGTTACTTTTGTTTCTGTTCGACTACACTCCCATGTCGTCTGGGGGTGACCCCTTAACCCATGAACAAAGATGATGCTAGGATGAGGCTAATTAGGATGGCGGGATAAGGCGGGTCGAAAGAAGCTTTTGTCTTACTTGATCACTGTTGGTAACCCACTCTGTGGAGAATCATCGCGGGAGAGCTGCGTAAACCCGATGCGGCGGATGCTAGTCGTTTCATGCTGGGACATGACCGGCCCTTACTAAGGCACGACGGACTGGCCCGTTATACTGTGAGGAGTGTAGTTGGTTTATAGTTTCGTGCGGGATGATGTGACAGTATGCAGTATCACTTGATGGGTTACAAGTGTCGTTAGGTTCGATTCCTAACAGCGCTATTTGGTTTTGGCTCGGTGGCCTGTCTGTATCTAGACCATCAGGTTGGGCTCTGATCGCGCTTGATCACGTGATGATCTTCTTTTTATAAAGCAGGCTGTCGGCTCTGCACCATGGACATGCCCGAAAATAAAGGCCGAGAACCTCTTTCTACCGATGGTAATCAGACAGGGAAGCATGAGGAGCATATTTAGCTGAGTGTTTGCTTAAACATTAATGATTAGAGTCCTCTGTAATTCTTGCTTTGCTTATGTATGCAATAGTATAAACAACAAAGCATGATACATGGCGAAGGGACTGTACCTCTACATAGATCAGAGCATTGTATCGTGCAGCCCGTGGACGATTCAAAATTGGCCCAGTACATTACAGTTAGGCGGTGCAGGGTCATCAGTCTTGGCGCTGACAAAATTCCGTGCGCCGAAACGTCCAGTATAAAATCAGAGAACACTGGTTTCGCTCTACAAGTAGTTCTTCATTCTTTCTATCTCTAGTCTTGATACTCTCGTCAATAGAGTATTAGCTACTTGCTGCCGAGTTTGTTCCAGCTCCCCAGCACGCTCGTCGTGACGATATGTATAGGAGCTACGAAGGTTGATCTAAGCCACTTTGCGATCAGAGTATTCGCTTTACGCTATGTGCTCTCGCTGACGGTAAAAGCGAAGTCGTTCTGCAGACCGTTTCACTCAGCATACCTAAACTATATATTAAAGTACTACCCTATGTAGTTACCTGTCTGACCACTGGCTGGGCCGAGTCTGGGTAAAAGCGGCAGACGCACTAAACTCAATTTGACATAGAGCTTGAATAGTGGTAGACTACATGTAGATAGATAAAACCTTAGAGCCACTGCCCAGCAAGTCGTCGTCATTCTCTGGCGAGAACGGGAAATAGATCTCCTGACGACATACCTATTTCCACCATTTCCACCATTCCTACCTAATTTAACTCAACCTTTTCGGTCTACACGCTTGCCTCTGGCATTTTGTTGCCAGCATGCTAACACCACTTTCGAATGCATTTGTTAGCCCAACCTAGGTAGACTAGAATTGCTTTTTTCTCTCCCTTCCGCTTCCGCCTCAGCCTTCGAATGAGTCCCCTCCGCACCCCTCCGCATTCGCCGACGACAGCTGTAAACCTGCCCAACGGATTGAGTTCCGATTTCAAATGCGATTCTCCGATTGCGCCGATGACCTCTGCACAGCGCCGGGCCTGGCCGCCCACTCGGTGCTGTCCACGACCATATCATTAACCCCGTTCATCGTCACATTCGTTGTCGTCTCCGCCGTCGTACTACGCAACATCTTCCCCCAGCTCGCCCGCCTTCACAACTCGCGCGATGGAGAGGACCATTTCCTCCCCTCGGATGCCCCGCTAGCTCTACAGCAAGCCCACGCCGAGCATGGCGCCAAGTCAATTCGACGGCAAGTCGCAGCCGGCGCTTTTGCGACCACTGTCGGATTGGCAGCCGTTCTGGCCGAGCTGATTCTGTGTGAAATATCCGAACTGGTCAGCCCGCATGCGCGAGCAACCGCGTTGCGCATTACTGTCCCCACGCTGTTGTTCCTCCTCATCGTCCTGATCCCCTTCTTGGAACTTCAGTCACTTATCGCAGGATCGGGTTGGTCTTTTCAGCGAACTGCTAGGGGCCGATTACCCCGCGTGCCGTGGATCTTGCAGCTTGGTCTTTTCAGTCTTTGGCTCTTTCTGTTCTGGTCGCTGGGCAACCTGGTTCCCGTCAAGGACGAGATCATGCATCTTAGTGCCCAGATGGTAAAAGCCCAGTCCGACACGACCTCGAATAGTCTAGCACGCGCCTGTCTTGAACGCGTTGGTGTTATTGGTATCTCTTTAATGGCGCTTTTGTCCGGCTTCGCGTCCGTGTCTGCCCCATGGCATACCTTCGGAAGCAAGGCATCGCGAAGACCCGTTACAGATTCAGATATTGCTCGCAAGCAAGCCGGCTTAGACGCCACTAATGAGATGCTCCTTACCAAGCGACATCGCCTTCAGACCCTGCAACGCAAGGTTGCCGATGCGTCAGCCACCGATAAATCAGGATTTGTCACAAAGGTCATAGGTAGTATTCGCGGCGGAGGCGATGCGGCTGAGATCCGTACCTTGCGTCTCGAAATTTCCGGGTTGGAAACTATGGAAGCAAATCTGGCGTCTTCTCTGAACATGTTACGCTCTCGACAGGCAAATTCAGAACGCGCAGCAACCACAGTGGGTAAACTGTACTTAATACCGACGTACGCTTTTAGTGCCTATTGTGTGTACCGAATTCTAGCAACTACTTTAACAACACTACGCCGCCTATACTATCCAGCGGCCTCATTCTCCTCTTCCGACCCCATCAATCGACTTCTCGGCCTCTTGGCCAGACACTGGGATCCCAAACTTGATCAGATTGCCTGGGCTAGGCAAATCTCTTTCTTGTTGTCTGGCGTCATTTTGGCAGCCAGTGCAAATAGTGTATTGCAAACCTTCCATCTATTCGCCAAGTGGACCCCAGGGTTGTTGTATCAGGCCCAAGCAAACCTGGCTCTGCTGATTGGGCAAATTAGCGCCATCTACGTGATTTCCGCAGCATTGCTTCTGCGGAGTAACCTTCCAAAAGAGGCCAGCAGCGCTGTAGGCGACGCCCTCGAAAGTGCTCTTGAACCAAGCTTCGTGGACAGATGGTTTGAGGGCTGGTTCCTGCTTGCAAGCGCTGCCACGGCTGGTGGAATATGGATAGGTGATAAGATTGGCAAATGGGGCGAAGATTGGGACGACATAGGAATGGAAGAGTTAGGTCAGAAACGCTCCTAAGCAGCGTCCTCTTTAAATGGCATATTAATTCATTGCAAGGAGTTTCAGGTGTTGATGTGTCCAACTGTGGCAGTCATGATATGATGTCACAGAGGCTATACTTCATAGCTTTAACAACAAGAAATTTACAGTACAAGATAACTGGGATCTTCTGAGCTGAGTCGTAGTTTGCGCTAGGTGGTCTGCAGTTTTTGGAGCATTCTCTTCACGGTCTGTGGTGCCGGAGTCAGGGATTAATTATCAGGGAAGAGGTCAAACAAGTAGTACTCTATAAGTACAATAAAGCTCCTTCAATGCCGAGCCTTAGTACATAATATTTCCGTTGTAATTTAAAAGAGTACACGGCCGTGCTACACCCCCGCGAGGTCACACATTACTAGACTTAGTCTACATGCCCCATCTCCTCCTATACTGCCTACAACATTAGGTCCTATGAGCGAGATGACAAAAAGCGGCCAGCCAAAAGCGGCTCGTGCCACTACAGGCGACGCAGAAGCATCAGAAACGGAAGGGAGAGCGAAAGTGAAAGGCTACCGCTATTGCAACGAATCTGTGGCGCTTTTTGCGCTAGCCAGATCATATGATGGTTCATTTATGGCCTCGTCATTTATGAGCCCAAGTGGCAAATACAAGCTCCATTACTCGCATCTATCTACTATCCAAAAGATCCACCGTCCCCCTATGCAGCCTATGTTGCTTCCTCCTTACATAACAAACGCGAAAAACATGCAAAGCAGCAGTTTGTCCTATTCTACGCTTGAAATGGACCGTTCCCCTTAGGGCCCTCCGCGGCGGCTGGGCTAAACCGCGGTGTGATTGCCATGCGAGTCAAAACAGCACAGCTTGCCGTCATCGACACCAACGAATTCAGCTACAGAACACCGCTGTCGTTAGCAAGTACTCATATTCTTAGACTCCGTAGCTCCAGCGGTCCGCAGTCAGTGGAAATCTAATAGATAATGGTAAGATGGGCGGGAGACGATACATAGCTCCGGATGGACGTAGTTACCACCCTTTCAGGGCTGTCGCATTCCGCATATACACTCGAGAACGCGTCTTCCTCTAATTGTATTAATGTCGTGGCGGGAACGCCCGAATTGGCCATTTGGCACCAGCGTATAGTTTGCCCTCGGTGTTCACCATGTAGCTGAGAGAGGATATTAGTGGTTCATCGCCTTTCAAGTGCTGGCATACCGGCTCGGGAGAAGCCATGACATGAAGCCCCAAACAAAACATAAGAACTCGAAAAGGACACTTCTTGAAAACATAACCACGATTTTAGCCCATCGTTGAACATCACTCGTCAACAGCCACGGTGGAAGTAGCAATTGATGAGCTGGTCTGGCTTGGTGGTCTAGTGGTATGATTCTCGCTTAGGGCGCACCCTACAGCATCGCTTGCGAGAGGTCCCGGGTTCAATCCCCGGCCAAGCCCTGCTAGGTTTTTCTATGGTGAGATGGCCGAGTGGTTATGGCGCCGTGTTCAGGCTAATTTGGCAGTTGAGATTCTATGGTCTTCCTGTTGAAATTCGCGGTGGAGCAATCCGCGTGGGTTCGAGTCCCACTCTCATCAAAAATCTTTTTTTTTGTTGATATCACACAAGAAGCCATTTGGCCAGCTTTTACAGACTAGATGGAGTGGCTTGATGGGAAACTATATTAATTACTTAAGTACAACAATAAAATAACAAACACTTGACGCTGAAGAGGGAATTGGAAATATGTAATATTTTTATATCCCTTCCTTGGGAGTAATTGTGTGAGACGAGCTGTGGTATATCGGAAGTGAAAGGACATGTGCCTGGCCAAAAAGGAAAGTAAAATAAAGGTAAACTCACAGGTCATGGTCGAGATAAGTCACCCCCTTTTTGCTGCCAATTCCCGGGCAATTCCCTACTGATATATTATTCCCCTACTTCACTCTTCCCATGTCGTTATTTTACAATATGGCATGTGGGTTACTCGCGGATTTAGCGTCATAAGAGGTTACTCGTGCCTTCGATGATTGAACACTTGAAAATTTCTGTAAATAGCATAATATAAAATCAGAGAAGACATTGGGACACGGGCTTTTTCCGAAGTAACAACAGCTCTCGTGGAGGTATGAATAAGTGGCCCACACGAGGTAGTCATAAGTGCCTAGATCCACAAAGCTCACGGAGTCGTATAATCGGATGATCTTCTTAGTAATCTGTGTAGAAACTGGCCTTCAATGATCTATGAAGCCATTTTTAACCCGTTCCGTACTGAATTACTGCTTCTGATTATTGTTCGTGCCATAAGGCTGAGTCGCAGGACTATGCCTTCGGGTTCCGCATTGCTGCAACTGTAGCTCGCTAACTATAGGAAGATGATTCGGAGTGCAAGCCAGACTAACGCATCATCTTAATGACTCTTTAGCAGTCTATTAACAGATACGAATCATGTTAGTCCTCTCCATGCCTTCTCGCTATAGCAGTGCTGGTGTACAAATCGCATCAAATTACACAACATTGGCAGAGGACGCGATATATCACACGAAGCAGATCTATTTATGGTGATCTACCTAATTATCTCTGAGCTAAAACTCCACTCTTTTCACAGATGGCATTTTAGTTCGTAGAAGTACCCCATCACTCGTGCGGGCAACAAGAAACGACAAAGTGCATGAAAAGAAGGACGTCTCGGTCCTCCAACACCAAACTCCTAGCCTCAAGTGCCAGTCAATAATGCAATACTCCACGCTGGCCGGTGGAGGAGAATTCAGTAAGTGTATGGACGCCAATAGAAAAACACTGGTTCACTTGATGCAGAAGCGGAAGCCAATCCTACACACCCATGTCTCAGCGTGTGCGAAAATGTGGGTTTATTTGCGCATCACGCAAGCTCTGGTAAGTGGTTCCTTGTGCAGATTCTTCTTCAGCAGTCAGGTCGACGATTTCCATAGGATCATAGCCATTCCGATGGGTGAAACCCTCCTCTTCCTGCTGCTCTACTGATTCGCGTGCACCATATCTTTCAAGAAGATGCTTAATGCCTCTTCGAGCCGCCCTGATCGCGCCTCTACCACCAGGCTCGTTAGCCCAGTCTGGCTCTGTCGTAGCGCAGATGTCTAACGGGGTCTGTTGGCCCATGGCCCGCAGAGCCTGAACCTCTTCAGCGTCTTGATCAGGGTTATCAAAGCTTGAAGGCATGACACCTTGATGTGTGCCAATCTTATTCGCATCTGCGCCCTCCTCCAGGAGTGTGTCGACCCAGTCCTGCTCGAGGCTGTAGACAGCAAACTGCAAAGGAGTAAAGGCAAAACCAGATTCGTTGATACTTCGTTCTTGAGCAGTCGAACGGAAATTGGAAGGAGGTGGTGTAGGGTTCGTATTAGCGCAAGCCTCAATAAGTATCTTGAGGACTCGGTTGGTCTCAAGGCCGTTGGTATCTCCAGCAGAGAAGACACGCATAGCGGTATAGAGCGCCTCGCTCTCTTGTTCGAAGGTTGCACCACAGCGAATAAAGAGTTGCAGGAATGATACCTGACACCGACGCAAGCAGAAGGTCAATATCGTTTCTCTCTCCTGGTCTTTGCGCTTGAAATCTGAGGTCCATATTCGGGCTATTTCGCTTCTTCGCATCTCTTTCCATGTTGGGTTGTCCAGATACTTTTCTGCAAGATCCAACCACTCGAGGAGAGCCAGGTTGGCTACAACCCCTGCTTGTTTCTTGGCGGGAAAAATCTCCCAAGCCAGTAGTTTATTCCATGTCGGGAACTCTCTTCGCAAGATCCCTATGATGCCGTTGAGATTTCGTCGAAGATAGGCGAGATGCTGAAACTCTGGCGATATTGATTTCAAGACGACCTCTGTAGAAAACTGGAGTCAGTGCTATATTTCTTGGGTGTAGAGTCCTTATATATAGCATTAAAGCATTAGGCTGGTCAGAAAGAACTGAAAGATACCTACTTCGAAGCTCTTCGTTACGCAGAATATCTGAACGCCGAGAGGTTAGAGCGTACTCTGTCATCTTCAGGCAGTATTCCTCATAGCGAGTTACTCGGACCCTCTCAGCATTATGGCGATGAAGACCAAAGTGGCCAAGGCCATTGAAGATCACTGCCAAGTCAATATTGCGGACAGCCTCTTCTGATAAGGCGAAGAAGCTTGCGGGACCTTCAGCTGTCCCAGGGAAGAATAAAAATTCCTTGACTGTGTAATGGGCCAGACTGGGACGATGGAATATCTCAGCAGCCTCGTTATCGCGACTGAAAGATGACGGCGGCGCATTTCGTAGTGGCGATAGGGAGATCAAGCAACCACATATATCTTGCAGCGTTTCAACCGTATACCCGTCAATATCGCCGAAGGGAACATTGTAGAGACATGCCGATACGAGGATTTCTGCGGTAGGAATCTCGGCGGTACTACTGCATATTAGAGCTAGAGCAGTGCGGGCAAATTCCCTATCGCGCTCGAGAATGTCAAGTAGGATCTAGCGAAATCAGTAGTTAGTGGTAATCACTTAGAGTCCGGCTTATTCTATGAGCGTTCAGGTGCATATCGGGAGCATCAAACGGCATGTGGGAGTCAAGACTCTGGGATACGTACTCCTGCAATAGAAAGAGTTAGTCAATACTCTTTGAAGTGAAATGTTAGAGATTTCGGAAGCATGCACAGCTCCCAAAACAAGAAAATAACGTGAACAAGAAGTATCTACTGTGGCAAGTTACCAGAGCAGGGAGGGAATAGCTTTTGAAATTACTCACGTTGATAGGTCGCGAAAAGATCATTTGGCAAAGTACGAAGAGTCTGTCGGAGGCTGTCTCGAGTCTTGAGCCGTTTGAGTACATCCAGCTGGCATGAAGCATAGCGAAACCTATTGCTGTTAAACATCTCGTCTCTTATATAGGGCAAAGACAAGTTACTGACATTCCCTTTGATACCTGGACAAGTATGTTGATGATCTCCCCTTGGACGTCATCGGACCATTTCTGCAGCTTCGGAGATCTCTTTAACTCGGCGTGAATATAAGACTTGACATCCTCCCGAACATTATTGTTAGACATGGAAATCTCAACACATGAGTCCTCAACCTCGCGAATGCACTCCTTGATGTCATTCTCTAGACGACTAGTGAATAGCAGCGATACATTCGAGAACCTTTTGGCCACTCCGATCTCGGTCAGAACTTTCATGAGATTATCTCGTGGTTTGCTCTCATCAACAGCATCAACAACGATATATACGTGGAGGAAGATATTAGAGATTTCTTCCAAAGCGTTGAGCAGATCTGGAATAGAAAGTGGGTGCTCTGCCTGGTGAGCTGCGTGAACTTTCGTAGGGATAACGTTGCCCGCCTGTTTGCATAGCTGGCGCAGTGTCCATTTGAGGAAATGGGGAGTCTCGTCTCGCTTCCGGCTGTGTAGACAATAGTAGTAGGAATACCCGACAGATTTGCAACGCGAAGCAATCTCCTCAATAAGGAAGGAAGCGAGCACCGTCTTCCCAGCTCCTGGGATGCCATGAATCCAAATGAATGCCCGAGTAGCATTGCCAGTGCCGCACTGATCCATCAAGGCTTTGAAAGTCGGTTCTCGAAGCACTATGTCAACAGTGGTCAGTTAACGTTGCATTAGACACCACCGGCAGACCTGGCGGCTTTTTTCGGTTCTTGTAACATGAATCGGCTAAGAAAAGCTAGTTGGGCATTCAAAGACACCAGAAAGAAATGAAATAAAAAAAATAAAAATAAAAAATCCCTCACTCCACAAGCACGTATTGGGTTCCTGAAGGGATTTCTTTTCCATATGCATGTTTCGCATCTCTTCATTATTGGGGTAGAGCCATTGCAAGGCCTGTCTTTTGTCACGGTCTGTTCGATTTGTCAATATCAATCCCGTATTCTGTACGGATGTCTTACCGTTGAGAGCCTCGTTAGTCTTTCGCACAGTATCTAGGATTACGTGAGTATTTTCGACGATAATCGAAGCAGTGCCCCTGTAATCATAAGCTTAGCAAATATATGTATGTAGATGACATGAAACATACGCAAGTCCGGTGGTGATCCCAAGTGTAATAGAAGACTTGTAGCGCTCCAACTGTTCCAATATTTCTTTCACCTTTCTTTGCTTCCGTGTCCAAGCCCCATCACATATGCTAAGCCGAGCTATTCCTTTTCGAATGCCTTGAGGAGTCGCTGTCCCTCCTTCTTCGGCATCTTTCCAACCAAGAACGTCAATGAGTTCCTTGATAGCATTGCCTGCTGCGACAAGAACTCCATCAGGGGTAGCTAGAGGTGCGATGGCGCTGGCGCCTGTGAAGCGGTCATTGAAAATCTGCAGAGCTTGAAGTTCTGCCTGGAGTATACAGACCTCGATCATGATCTTGCGAATCTCATCTTGAGCATCGTGAACGGAGCCAAGGTATTCGGAGCAGAGTCTCACTAGCCTAGCGGCAAGCCCAATGAGATCAGCGATGGCTAGTCCAATGTCGATGACCCCCACGACGGCCTCCATACTTTTGGGAAGGATAGTTCGGTTTGGTGTATGTATGAAAGGGGTGAGGTAAGTCAAGTATAGGGAAAGAACCGATGAGCCAGTTGACGGCT